GGTGGTACTGTGGTCACTCTCCATGTAGCATCAATTATGCTAATGCTAGCTGTCACATTCTCTAGTCCTGGCCACACCTCTGCTCTCTAACCCCCCTTCCCCTACCCACACCCCCTCCCCTACCCACTTTGATGCATTTTTCAAATTTCGCCTTGGGGCGGAGTTATCTTTTCACGGGGGGGTAAGATACACTTTAAGGTAAATCCGATTCAGAATACACAAAAATGGATGTAACTCAGTATATGTTGCAGATATTGAGCTCAATTTGATGTAGTAGTTAAAAGTTAAAATCTAACTTATTCCATGCCTATTCAGAAAGGTAAAATAGTTTCACAAAATCTTTCAAAAGTAGACCTTTATAAACATCCATTACTCGGACATAATTTCTCACCAGTTATAAAAACAGGATAACGAGACGATATTTGCTGGATTTGCAGTCGGAGCAAACATGTCAAATAGTCTGGTTGATCTTTTGACATCGAGTCACATTCATGGTAAGGCAAGACCTCCAGTACTCCAGCGTCCTGACCACAGTATAGGAAGAGCTTCTTCTCATTTGCTTCTTCACTCACCCTGGAGTTGGGAGGCAAAAACTTAATATTCAGATGGGCAAAAAGTAACCACAAAGAGCACAGCGAATATGACGTATCTTATGGTCAAAATAAACTTTTGCAGAAAAAAAGAGTGAAGTAAAATTAATGAAGTGATGTTTTGGTTTTTAACTAAATTAAATTTGAACTGGGTAAGTCATATCCACATTTATTAACATTTGGACCAACCTGAAATATGATAATTACAAGTTACACAGATGCTTAATTTGAATATTTTTTCCCCACAAAGTAAAAACCAATGGTGGGCACAGCTAACAAAAATGTTCCAGTAAAGGCAGAACTGGAGAGCAATTAATCCTTTTCTGAGGACCATGGCCTCAGATTTGAAGGTGCTAATCCTCATCCCAGCCGCTTTACACTCTGCGATTCGCTCCAGAGAGAGCTGAAGATCACGGCACAATAACAGCTAATTGTTAACGGCTAAGATGACTGTCAGTCTGCATCACACGTCTGTCTCCTAGCAGAAGACTGGTGAGACTGGTGTAGACAATACCTAGTCTTTATCTATTCTTATGTACCTAGCTATTTATACGTGTGCTAGTTAGCTGTTAACGAACTTAAAGTTGTAAAAACCTAATTTAGTGGAAGCTAACTGGTCTGTTAACAGATATTAAAGCTAGTGAAATAGCTAATTTGCTAAGCAAAACATTTGTTCTGCTACTAACTGTTAGCTAATTAGCAGAAACATGCCTACAAGTGGTAAAAACAATTGGTCATTAAACAAGCATCATGTGCCAAAAGGGAACTAACAACATTTTTTGAAGAAAAGTTGATTTTTACCTTGCATTTTCTTTCAGGCGTCGGCTGTCTTTGTAGTGTAGCATCCATTTCCACTTTCCCATTCTGCTCAGCTCTTGCAAGGTCTCAGAGATTTTTTTCATGTTGCCTACAAGTTTATTTCAAAATGTAACAATCAGTTAAACTGGAACCTGCCTGAAGTAGAATACCTCAAACTATAAAAAGATTAGGATCTGGATAGGTAAACATACAAAGGCTGAGGGGCTCCAGTACAGCTTTGTCTAACATGATAAAGCCGGCCCGGGTGAAGAGCTCCTGATGAGTGAGGTTAACAACATCGTCCGGCTCATCAATTCCAGCAAACTGCACACCAGGTGTCATCTTCAGCTCGAGCAAATGTGGTATCTGAAAAACCATAGGAGCCGAGTCATTACATCACAACTGTTTGGTCAAAACCCTTACGTTATTTATTTAGCTGGTCTTATACCTTGCAAATGTGCTCTGCAATGTCTTCATTTCTGACAATGATGAGGAGACAGGAAGAACTGCCATCACCACGAAAGAACTCAGATGGCTGTACGGCAGTGTGACCCTCGGTCTCCAAAAGAGTCTTTAGAAAAGGAAAGGAAACATCTTTAAAAAGGCATTTTTAATAAGTAAATCCTATGGTGCTTTGCCATGAACCTATACACTTTGGGAGTTTTAGTTTACAAAAGGAAGAGATATTTCATTCTTTCCTTCTGTTCCATGGGTCACGCATTTTTTGAGATTTTGCATGAATACACTTAAAGAATGCAATTACCATGGTGAAAATCTACAGTATAAAGGCAACCAGAAAACAACTATAACAGGAGAAAATGGTTTTCGACAACCTATAGAGGTTGAATAAAATGAACAGATTTTGTAGTTGAAAATGAAACGGATAAAGATGGAAAGGTGGAATTTCTTCTATTTTAAGAAGAAATACCAAATGTCTCGTTTACATAATTTTTTTCCCTAAATTTACATGACTGTTTCAGACTCAATAGTGAAGGTTTTATGGTCGTTAATCTTACCTTAGTTTCATCAAAGAAGGCATCATCTGATGTCACCAAGATGTAGAATCTGTACTTTGTTTTACAGGATTTCTTCACCACAGCATTCAGATTACTCTGGAACGACTTGTCAAGTTCTTTCTTCATTTGATCACAGAAGTCAAAATTGTTACTCAGTGCTCCAGAGTAATCTTGTTGGAATCTCTTAGGTCTACATGAAGTCTTCCTGATAGAACAAACATTGTGCATCTTGGCCTCGTACACCTTAGAGTATTCTGCGATCAAACCAGAAATACCAGCGTGCTCCACTGGGCTGTCTGTTTGAGAAGGAGGACAAAACATCTTTCCCTCCTTTGTGGAGTCTGTCAGGCCTTTCCTATCAGACATGTCCACCCTTATTTTCTGGGTAACAAGTGGCATGTCCAACAACTCCAGATCATCATGCTGCTCCTCAAGATTAGAGAAGTTGACAGTCAGAGGACTGTGGAAAGACTGAGTCAAACCATCACAAGTATCCTGTTGGCTGAAGGATCCACCTTTGCTCTTTTTCAAAAGATTTTTCATTTTCTCTGAGAAGATAAGAGACTCTTGCTCCACTGATGCCTTAGTGAGGTCGTCTGACAGGCACCTCTGAGAGAGTTGGTCCAGAATAGAGTAAGACTTATCCTGACCTGTATTAAAGACCGTACATAGAAGTTCTGGAATGTGTACTTCTTTACTTAGGTCATCGTCTTTGTCATAAATTGATAACTTGTCTGAGTAGCCTTTACAAATCCTTTGTTTCGCAGTATGTTCAACTGTCTCATCTAAACTGTATTCAAAGAACCCTTGGCATTGGTCATTTTCAGGGTAACTTTCTGTAGAATCAAAAGACTGTATAGACGGCAAAGATGAAACTGTGAACTCTGAGGTGTTTGTTTTCTTGTATTGACGTGGAGGATTGAGGGCAGGTTTGACTTCTGTTTTATACGAATTATAGTTTGTGTTTGCCAACAAAGAAGTTTTGGAAGAAAGCTCAACAGTCTCGTGATTATTTAGATGATCAAAATTCCCTTTCAATGTATTCTTTGAAAGCATTAGGTTTGTAAAGAAGTTTTGGACAATCTGAGTGACAGGTTGTTTATTCTTGGGAGTAGCTTCAACATCATCTTTTGACAGCCAATGGGCCTGGATTTCCTCACTCTTTGATGGTTTCACTACCAAGGCAGGATGCTGTGATTGTGAACAAGATCCTGGAATAAAATAGGACTGTGAAGTTGGTTTATCTTGCAAATCTACAGCAGTGGCACAAGATCCCGAGGACTGCAAGTCTGACTCTATGGAGTGTTTCTGTCTGTTGGATCTTTTAAACTGATGTGACTGAATTGAAGAATATTTATTCTTTGGCTTTAATTTTACATTGAGTCGCTCCTTCAGTTTGTTTTTGAAAGGTGAAGCAGGAACACTACGTATTGATTTGGGGTGCAGGTCTTGTGTGCTTGACACCTCTGGTGGCTTTTCACGTGTTCTCCTGTTTGTAAAGTCAACTGAAATGTGGCCTGGGTCCAAGCTAGTTGGGGTTGATTTCTTGCTGGAGAGGTTTGAAGAATTAGGGGATGACTTTTGGTCGGCCATTTCAGTCTGAGTATGCATACCAAAGTGGTATGCTGTGGAAATATATTTGTCTATACCTTGCAGGACTCTTAAGGTTCTGAATTCAATATCAGGACCAAGGCCATGAAGATGATTGCGTTCAACGTTAGCTGCAGAGGTTTGATGTTTCTGATGAAGAGGCAGCTCTTCCATAACGGGTGTTGAGCTTCTGCTGGAACATTTTTCAGTAATGTTTTGGCAGATTTCACTACCACTATAGGCAAAAGCACTACTGCTAGGGCTTGAAGATGATCCATACTCAAATGGTTTTTCATCCATGGTTGGAGTAGGGGACCTCCTGTCCAACACCCTTGCCAATACATCTAGTTTATTGATTTTGCTTGCATCAAGAAGTGGCATTTCGTGGGTAGACAATTTTGCATTTTCAGCACAAATTTCAGATGGGCTAAACTGATCAATGGGCAGCTCATCAAGAGGGCCAGAAGTTTCATGAATAAATGGTATTACTTCCTGGCTTTGAACAGCTTTCCCTGCCTCGTCTTGTAGTTGTACTACATGGATTTCATCTGTGCTCGTTTCCAAAAATGGAATTGTAATCCCATCCCAACTTTTGTCCAATTTACCATTTGTTTTGTTGATTTCAGAATCCATATTTTCAGGTGATGACTCGTCTGGCTTACCCATGTTGACAACTTCACACTTCGATGGAGCCTGCAGTTGAAATGCTTCTTGTGGAGTTTTTTCACCTATATCGTCTTCCTTCTCAGTTGGCTTGATTTCTTGTTCATGATTTGGATGAACATTAAAATTTGCTTCTTTAGTTTTATCTGCTGTTTCAAAGCTACCATTTACCTTGGGAATGAAAGACTCTTCTGGTGAACTGGTGCTCTCATCAGAATAGGGTAACAATGGCTTGAGACAGTTTTCCTTGTTTGTCTCAAAGTTTTCCTCAGCCGAAGGGTCTTTTTCAGAAATGCTTGTAATGCCTGCTTGAGTGCAACAGCTGTTTAAAATGGGACCTTTTAACTGAATGGGATTTGTATAGCAGATGTCTTTTGTACTAGCTGCCAAAGGTAGCTGCTTGTGTTTTTGTGCTTGATGATCACACTCTGAAATGCAAACGTTTATTGGACCATCACACTTTTTAGGTAATGGTTGATCTCTCAAATCTTGATCCATTTCAGTCGCAGCTTCTCTCAAGTAATCATCTTTAAGCTCCGTAAGTCCATTGCAATCCACATTTCTGTTTAGACTATCATTTTGGTCAGGTGAGACATCTTTACTTTCCACCTCTGAAGACACATTTCCATTTACTACTTTGTCTTCCTTGCAAATAATATCTGATTCTCTGTTAGCAGAGCCATCATCTGTGTGTGTCATGTCATAAAAAAGGTCTTCATTGCCTTCTGGGCATGGATATGTGCTTATTTTGCAGCTTTCTTCAAGTTTTCCATGCTTATCCATTTGAACCAATTCATTTTCTTCTGAATTGGAATTAACCTTTTTGTCCATATCAAATTCCAATGAATCAGTTTCATCTTTTTGCTCCAAACTCTTTTCTGTAATTTCTGAATTTTCTGTGTGATATTTTGTGCAAGTGGTGTCTTTGTTGCTTCCAGGTAACTCCTGATCAATTCCAACAGCAACCTGATCAGTTTCAGGTTCAAACGAAATGTTTTTCATCTCTTCATGCTGAGAAAAGTTTGTCCTCTCAACTTTTGAAGCTGGCACTTCTGTGAAGTCTGGGCACAATGCTTTTGGAATAAATTCCGTCTTTTTGTTTTTGTTAATGTTGTCAACATTAACCTCACTGATAGTCTCCATCTCCATCTTTTTGCATGACTGGAAATGAAAAGAGATATATTTAAAAGTTACGTTTATGCAGATAATAAAATGTCAACAAATGCCATTTCTATTTGAGCTGTTCATAGTTTTTACATTTTGACATGAGTTTAAAAAGGATTACAATGAATAAAATAAATGCTGCATGTCCACAAAGTAATTATAGAATATTTGTATGTATCTATATTAAGATGTTGCTATAATTATCTTAGATAGTAATATAATCTTCCAGTTCCATCATTGTTTCAACTAACAGGAGCAGCTCACCTTGTTGCTCCTACTAGTACATGTCTAAGTTAACAGAAAATTAAGTTGTAGGTCTTATATAATTGAAGACAAGTTTTTAATCATTTTAACATTCAAAGTCATAAAAGGTAAGTCAAATAAAATGAAAAAAAAAGGAAGTAGAGGGGTGAGCCCAGGAGACCGAGCAGTCACCCTTCAACCAGGAAGTCACTAGTTAAAGCTTTAACTTCCTAGTTCAAATACTTAAGTATCACTCCTAACATGTTCCTGTCTCCTAGGTGTCTTTGGATAATATCTGCTACATGTTTGTAATCTAAGTAACCCTTCTTCAGACAGTATGGCTCCAGGATTCTAAAGTTATTTAAGATGATGCCTTTCTGAACCAGTCTGAGATGAAGAGAGGGGCTGTAACAGGATCTTGTGCCGCAAGATCTTACAATATTAAACTGCAGCAATATTTCTCAGAGGTGAAGACTCTCTCATGAAGCACTAATAAATTACAGACAACAATGCTTTCTTCTGGGAAAAGATGATGAACCCATCATTAATAAAGGGTTTGCATTGCAGCAGTTCAGTCAAATCAAGCAGTGGAACATTTAGCCAGTATTATTATTTTTATACAGGTGCTGGTTATAAAATTAGAATATCATGAAAAAGTTTATTTACTTCTGTAATTCCATTCAAGAGTGAAACTGAATATCTTAATCATTCAATCCACACAGTCTGATATATTTCAAATCTTTATTTCTTTAATTTTAATGATTATCAAAGACAACCAATGAAAAGCCCAAATTTAGTATCTCAGGAAATTAGAATATTGTGAAAAGGTTCAATTGAAGACACCTGGTGCCTCACTTTAATCAACTAATAACCCAAAACATCTGCAAAGGCCTTTAAAAGGTCTTTCAGTCTAGTTCAATAGGTGACACAATCATGGGGAAGACTGTTGACTTGACAATTGTCCAAATAACAACCATTGACACCTTGCACAAGGAGGTCATTGCTGAAGAGGCTGGCTGTTCACAGAGCTCTTTTTCATGATATATGACCATGACCAGCACCTGTATGCTGATGATAATAACCACTTGCATTTAACACAAAAATCCAGAACTATCCAGAATGCACTGAAACACCCAGCAGGGTCATGTCACTGAAGCCCTGCAAAGACAGCTCACCCATCACCTCTGAAACCTGCAGGTACATACTGAAAATAGGTGGAGGTGGGGTTTCTCTTGTTGCACAAAATAAGCAAAGCACGTTTAGTGACAAGTTCACATAGTGATTCGAGTGTTGTCAAGATGAGAAAATTAAGCTTGAAACTTGTCAATCTGTTTGAATTGACAGGCAAAGATAAGAACAAATGTCGGGGTTAGGCAGTGACACAAATACTTTTCTGCTTGATTCTTTTGACATGAGACTTCTGAAAACATTGTGTGTTTAGCCCTCTTTGGATCAAGATATTAATTTTGGATGCTTGTGAAACAGAATTTGAATTTGTTAAAATCTCATCCTGTGAACCCAGTATTGTCTCATCTTTTAAGCTGAATATATTGTTACACACACAGACAACCTTAACCCAAGGTTTTCTATTTAAAGATTGGTCTCCAACTATCAGTAAGTAATTGCACATCCTTTTTGAAATGACAATGATTCTGAAAGTGATGTCACAGCCCAGTGTATCAGATTTGATACAAAAAAATATATCATAAACAAAGTGATGTGGCAAAAAAATTTGGATTTTGTTTAAAGGCCCAATAAGCATGTCAGTTCTAAAAAATGTGAATTTTCTGACTATTTTTTGAAGGGCTAGGCTTTAAAGGGTTAAAAAAAAACGAAAGAGAAACCTGTGCAATGCAATATCTGCAAGGCAGAACTTGCCTTCCACAGCAATTATTTTTAGTTAGCATATAGCTAAAATCTAACGATGGTTATATAATAGCAGCTGCAATCTGGCGCAATAAGCTGTATGTTTTATATTCAATTAATATATGATCCGATTAATCAACTAATTGAAAAAAATAATCGGTGATTAATCGACTATAAAAATAATCATTTGTGGCAGCCCTATTGTTAAGTAAAGATTCATTAAACCAATTCAGATTCTATACAGCGACATTTTGCATGAAGCTGGTGCATCACACAATTCAAGCTAAAACACCATTTTCATTACTTCTTTACTCCAAGTTCTCAAACAGAATTGCAATGCAGGTCATTATTATACCATACATATCTGATCTAGCCTGGTTAAAACCAGACCCTTGTCCTTCATTTTACTTCGTACGAGGGTCTGGACTCTCGGTAGATCCTGCTGGAGGCGTGGCCTCTGCTGAAGTTTAAAATGATTGTATCGGTTGGCCGCGACGTATGCGTGCCAGCTACACTGTGAAGGAGGCTAAGCTAAGAAGCTAACCGGAAATTGCGTGCGCTGTAAACAACCCTACTGAGAGGAGAAAAGTACCAAATTTAGGACAAATTTAATTTGGAAGCCTTATCAACACAGACTGGCTTCATTCACTTCCTCCACTGCTATTGCTAAACTAGCAGACACTGTGCAGAAAATTGACGTCATTCAAAACTTCTGTTTGCTGATTGGCCCAGGTAAAATAAACTACAAGCAGACACTGTACAGAAAAATCAACGTTCTGTTCTCTGATTGGCCTGAATGAAATGCTCCCGAAGAAATCCTTGTCTATGGGAGAAATCCCAGACAGAGAAGTGAAGGGAAATGGTAAAATGGTAAATGGACTGAACTTATAGAGCGCTTTATCAAGTCCCTCCAGACCCCAAAGCGCTTTACACTTACAGACATTCACCCATTCACACTCACATCCACACACTGATGATGGCAAACTACATTGTAGCCACAGCTGCCCTGGGGCACACTGACAGAGGTGGGGCTGCCATGCACTGGCTCCACCGGACCCTCTGACCACCATCAGCAGGCAAGACGGGTGAAGTGTCTTGCCCAAGGACACAACGACTAAGACGGCTGGACGGGGGATCGAACCAGCGACCTTCTGGTTCCAGGACGACTCCCCTAACAACTCTTCCACAGCCGCCCAACTAGAAACTAGAATTGAGTGGAACTGCGTAGGAAGGGTTAGGCCATATCTGATCATGTACAAACAAGTATATATTCATTTGTCAATATTATATTAACAACAGAAAATTCTAACCTTAAATGCTTCTTCCTCTTGTACTTCTACTGGTAACTTTGAACCATTCAGTGTTTCAGGAGGTTCCATTTCTTCACTGGACTCTTTTCTGTTGACTTGTGGCTCTGAAGAAACAGTTTCAACAACAGAGTTCCTCTGTGACAAATCCAAAACCTCAGATTCTGATTCCAAGAGAGTGCTGTCCTTTGTACTGAGATCCAAAACTTCTGAAACCATGAGGTCTGGAGTGTTTGTTACACTTGAAAGAGCTACAGAAGAACTGGTATTGTGTTCGAACCTAGCTGGACCCGATACCATTTCGGTGGCTTTTTTCACAGGATCCCTTTCATCTAAAGACTGATGCACAAAACTTGGGTCAATTTGGAAGAATCTGGCTGTTGACCGGCTGTAAAACAAGCCTATCCACATGTGGTAGATGAGCTGCATCTCTTCAGTAGTTTTGGGAGTGGAGAAATCCCATGGCCTATGGAAAATGTCAAATTCACACACAGACACACAAAAAGATATCTGAACTAAATAAAGTATACTATAACAAGAAAATACAACAGTTAAAAAAGATACAAACTTTGTCAACAAATTACCTACCCATGCAAAGCTCGGATGACAACCCTGCTCTTTGGGTCACTTGTAAACTGGCTGTCTAGATTGAAGTTGTAGTTTTCTTGACATTTTCTTGTGACCTTAATAGAGCCATCCTTGATAACAGAAGTCCGTGAGTATCTGAACTTTTGTTTGTGCCTCTGCGAGTATTCTGAAGTCCTTAAGTATTCGCTTGAGTCGTACTGAATGACAGAAGGGTGTAGTGTATTATCTCCACTGCCATACATTGACTGGTGATGGTTTAGCAGTCTGGTTGAACCACTTACAGGTAGCACCTGGAAGGTTGTACCTGGCAAATCCAACAGCAAACAGGAAGATGGAGGCAGTGAGTAATCATGTTCTTTAGATACCAAAGCAATCAATTCATCATCTCCCAAAGGAGAGCTTTGTGAAGGCGACGTAACAGGTTGAATGAATTTAGCAGCAGGAGGAGTTTTAAGCAGAGCATGAAGAATTGACTCTTGTTCAGAACTGGAAAGACCCTTTTTAGGGTCGCACTTCTTCAAACTTTCATTAGGATTTTTGTCAAGTGCTTCATTTGGTTGCAGTGGAACCTGGTCATAACTGACGCTGAGTGCCAAGTCAGCAAGTAAGTTCAAAGCATCTGTAGATGAGCAAGCACTTTTCATTTTTTCCTCAACAGTCTTTCTGACAGTATTGTCACTAGAACAGTCATTTTCTGTGACCTTTTCAGTTGTATAACAAGCTGGAGTTTGAAAATGCAACCACCCTGTGAAGACAAAACAGAGAAGAAAAAGAGAAACTGCATGAAGATAAAAGGTAGCACATTAAAAGCACATGAAATACACATTTGTATTACATACACGAACACATCATCAAAATGTTAGCTAAATCATTGTTCTAAAAGGACCCGTTTGTTCAATACGCAAATTTCAATGTTATGACAGACAAAAAGGCTGAATAAGCAAGAAAAAGAATTAGTTGATTTAGCTGATGAAGGGAGCAAAGAAAAGAAGAAGCACGCGCAGTTGCGGGGGTTACAGATCAAGTTAGTGGACAAAATTTTCATAATTCAAGAGCTCTTGCACTGGATACCCCAACCCCCACAAAAATACAATAAAATAAAATCTTACAACTGACTTACATTTCTTTTTAACAATTTCTGCAGAAATTCCTTGATGCATTTTCAGTGTTTTAATCCTCTTTCTCCTTGGGAATATCGACAGAGGCTTTTGCACAATTTGCAGGTGTTTCTCTAAAGAGACAGGTTTCTCATTCTCCACCGAGTATTTCTGCTGCTGGCCCACAGTTTTCTGAACCTTATTCAGACTCTCTTTAGGGGTCAGGCCTAAGTAACGAGCAAAAGCAGGGTCAACCGAGGGCATCTCCGAAACTGGGCTGACACTGGAGTCGGCAGCTGGAGTCGTTGCGTTGTTGCATTTCAACATCTCAGCATCTGAGTCCACATTTGCCTTCTTGAGACAAGGCTGATCCTCTTGGCAGGTATTTTCAACCTTTTCGTCACTGCGAAGGAGATCTAGTTTTCTTTTTTGTCTTGAAAGGACAGATTTTAGTTGACTCAGCAGATATTCTCCCTTTGACAAATGTTTCACTGGAGACAATGTATCAGTTTGTTTGCTTTGAATAACATGCACCAGTAAATTATCTGTATTATTGTTTTGGGAAGAACTAATATTCAAGTCAGTAGTTGAAAGCACTGAATTGTTGTCATCAACTGGCTGTTCCACAATACTTTGTTCAGAAGCAACATTGGTGGCACTTGGAATGTTATCCACACAACTTGTAGAATCTGCAGCCACAGTTTCAGTCACTTCTGTCTGTGAAACAATGCTAGTCTCTTTCTCCATTTCATCTGAGTCAGGTCTAGTCACAGGGAAATCAGGTGACATTTTTTCAAGGCACTCGTCATTTTTTGTAGCTTGCAACTTAACCTTTAAAGACCTAACTTGATCAGCTATATCGACAGAGCCAAAAGGAACCAAAATTCTCCTACATTCACTGACAACTGGCTTTAGGTCCCAGCGCTCTGTTTTCTTTCTTAGATGAAACGCCTCAAGTTCCATTAAAATGCTGCTTTCCAAGCTTCGCTGTCCATCATCCAAGTTGTTCCCTTCAGCTTTGGCTGAGCCAATAGGACCAGACCTCACTTTATTTTTTGACGACGGTTTTCCAAATCTGCATTTACGTCGTTGCAATTTTTTCCATCTAGTTTTCAAAGAGTTGTTCGGCTGAGGAAAGTCCAATTCCTTAGGCTGTTCATTTGTGTTGCAGTTTAAACTATCCACCTCCAAAGCTGATATGACTGTCGGCAAACTGCGAGTCTCAATACCAGGTTTAGAAGCCTTTTTCTGTGCTTGAGAAGGTTTTCTTCTCAGTTTGCCTCGTTTTCTTCTTCTGAGCTTGGTGACCACAGAGGGATGCAACAACTTTCTGGTTTTGTCGGTTTGATTACCGACAGCGTTTATGTCTGCTGCTTGCAGTTTGGCGATCTGTGAAAATTCAGAAAAATGAAAGTCACCATGCTTTGTTGTCGATAAAGCACCAGCACTACTTAGTGTCTCATCGGTGACTCTTTGTTCTGCTGAGGTTATGCTGACAATGAGCTCTGCAGGAAGATCCTCTGATGTAGGAGTAAGGAGACGTTTCACCTTTGTATCATCAGTATTGTTCAACTCAGTGAGATTATTGCAGTTTTGATCCTTTGCATCATCTCCAGCTTGCAAGTTGTCCCTCACAATACTCTCAGTCACAGATACTGGAGAAACTTGTAACTCAGCATTTGATGTGTCCACAGATGCCTCATTTGATGGAGATTCATGGTCTGATAATGAATGTTCTATATCCATGTCAACTGGGCCGACTGGTAACTCCTCTGGTGATGACAGACAGATATAAACATCATCATCAAGGTCCTCTCTTTGCTCCTCCTGTCCAGCCGCCAGGATTTCAGAAACCTTTGAAACTGGTAGCTGAAAGGATGCTGGTTTGCTCAAGTATGACTTAAAGCTCTCCCATGTCCTGTTAGTCCACTCGGAAGATGAATAGAGATGTTTGTGATCTATCGGAACATCATATTGGTCTGGAAAGATGCTCAGTTCCCTTTGAGGCCTTGATGGACTTGACAGACCTGGATTTATGAGCGTAGCATAACTCTGTATATGCTGCGCCAACACTTCACACAGATCATTGCTTGGGTCCATGGGTGTTTTCTCAACTTCACCCTCTGCGTAGCTCATTACTGGTAAAAGTGAAAGAATTTCCTTTGGCGCAGCAAACTTATTCCATCCAAATTTAGTATCTGTGACAAACCAACAAAAGAAATTGTTTAGTCTCGGGCCAGTTAACAATTCTACTGTGAGAAGTAGGCTTGATTCACATACAAGGGGAACAGGAAAAATGACAAAACACTTCTTTCCCTACAATGGTGTCAAGAGGTGTTTTAATTGATTATTTACAGGTTAAATAACTGACGTAAATTAGATTAGGTTATGTAAAGATAAAAAGTAGAGGTAGACCAAAAAACTGTGTGGTCCAAGCACATTACAACCTTGGTTCTAAATGGAAACTACTTGAAACAAAAATGAAGACTATTTTTAGGAAACTGAGTGGATGATGGTTAACCAATGTGCTAGTAGCTACTGAAATGTTACAAAAAAACTCTCCTTTGGACCTGGTAGCAACCAAAAGGTTCAAAACACTGAGGGAAGTTTGATTTAAGTTATCTCAAACTTGTAATCAGTTGGTGAGTGAAGACTGTAATGGAACTAATAATTTTATCTTTAAGCTAGTAATGCAAGACATCCTTTAATGACCTAGATTTTCATGACATGCTGTTCATCTGCAGATTGAGTGATTAAAGTCAGAACAAGATTTGCTAACAACAGTCATTCTTAGATATCACTTGTGTTTATCTTTGTGTTTTCCGTTGACCTTGTATCAAATCTTGCTAAGATGACATATATATGAGGCCTCTCGAGTGAGTGACAGTACACGGTGGACAGCGGACACAGTGTGACAAAGAGAAGCAGAGGCACATTGACAGGCCAGGTTGTTCTCTGTGTTTCCTGTTGTTGCAATAAAACTCAGCTGATCATCTCACGGAGTAACTTCATTCTTGGACCACGTATTTTTGTCTTTGTTAAATAAATATTGCCATAACAAGACCATTGTATACTGTGGTGCCATTCTCTGCAATAATTTAGAGGCTTTGCTGGTTTCTGTTGTAATGGTGGTCCTGCAGAAGCTTAGTATTTATTGAGACTACATTATAAAAGTTAGAAAACTTTCTCATTTAAAAGCTTAAAACAGTCACTGTAATCACCTCTTTTTACAGCTCTTGAGTCAGGAAACACAAAAAGGCCTTGCAATGCCTCAGCTGAGGTAGACTCCGTGTCTATAAAAAAATTGCACAAGAAAAAACAAGCATGTGACTGACACAAAAGCACTTCTCCTAAAGATTAAATTTAAGTGTACAACTGACAACCTGTATGCTGTCAATTTTCATATCTTACCATCATATCTGAGGAAGTGTGATGAGTGCAACAGAAGAAGAAATCCACTATCATTCAGAGGAACGGTGAAAGCCTGAGCAAACACAAGCAAATGTTTATGTTAGACATTAACCACATCATTTTTATTAGTTTTAGTGCAGAATACTCAAAGGACCACGTCTGACAAAACTTTCATTGCTAATTATAATAGAAAAATATACAGTATTGTAAAAACAATCATCAAAAACCATTTGGTTTTCTGTCTGCTTTATTTAAGCATAAATTGAATAATTCATGGTTATGACTATTATTATGTAATAATAACTAAGATGGACACACTTACAAAATCATTTTCCTTGATCTCTGAGAGAAGCTGCGTAAATGAGCTACTTCCTTCTGTTCCTTCAACTGGTACAAACTCACCCAAACTGCAGTAAAAGCCATCCTGATAAACTGAGGGAACAGTATTAAAAATTCTGTTTAATTGTTGACATGTTCACATTTATGTATATTTTTTAATTTCCAAGACATTTTGTTTTTGCATCCTAAAGGAAAACAAACCCTCTTCAGCGTAACAGTTTTCAAACACAGATCTTGGCAACACTTGTCGCAGAGCCGACATAGAGATCCCTCTGTCAACTTTTATCACTGGTGGCCTTAAAACAGTAAAAAGAAAGATATCTAATTATACCATGTAGGTAAAATACCAGACATTTGAATTTGTACAAATATAACTTACAGCTTAGCAGGAATAAAAGCCACAGCTGTGGACCTCAGGCCAACATGGTAGAACTGGTTGTTTATTTGAAACTGACCTGTCCAAGGCAAGTACTGATAAACTGAAAAAAATAAAAAATAAAAAATAAAACATGATAAAATAAAAAAAATGCTATGCATCGTAACAAAAGGTACATATAATAAATGAGAGTAATTAAGATATTTGGTATTAAATGACATTAATATGTACACAATAATATGGTTGTTCCAGACAATCTTTTTTTTCCCTGTACTGGAACACTGACTTAACGACTGAGTTTGACTCAATTTGCACACCCCCTCGAATCACGAGTCCGTCATGACTCTTTTCCTGTAATTTCGTATTTTTCTGCACGGTATCTTGCTTTTATTTTCATTTTTATCTCATTTCAACATGATAGTCCGGTACAGTCGTTATTTTTCTTAATTTGATCTATTTTTATTTTTTATTGTTACTATCTTTAATTATTATTGCTACAGCTGATAATGTCACATAGCAATATACTGTCTCTGTGGATTGATGTATGTATCTGCTGCTGCGATTACACCTGAATTTCTCTGCGTGGGACAATAAAGGCTTATTCTATTCTATTATAATGGTTTAGATAGTGAAGTTGTTTTTTTCCTTTAATGTCTTTGAATGGGTGATTCAGGCTTCTTTATTCCAACCAGATCTCTGTATGTTGGCGTTAGCCGGACCAGGCTCTCACAACTGCAGTTAGTTCAGAATGCTGCAGCTTGCTTTTTAAACAAACACCAAGAAAAAATATCTCTGGTCTCTGGTATCTCTGGTGCTTGCTTCCCTTCATTGGCTATGTTGCTGAATGGACTGTATTTCTGTCTGTATGTCTAATCATCGTTTGACTTTAGCTGTCCTGAGGTCCAAGCTGGTCCACAAAGGTAATTAAAAAGGCCCGACATACTCCATCCGAAACAAAAAAAAAAAAGGCTTTCGTTGACACAGTTGTGTGATGAAAATGGCATCAGTTTGTAGAGCAGCTAAACAACACAATGCTCAGGCTGAAATTTTCTCACAGGCAAATACACCAGGTATTGTGTGATTGGTCATAAGTTCATGGATGTGTTTGTTAGTGCTGAAAAGCACTCAGACAACATTGGCAGCATTTTCTTAAACTTCTCTGTTTCCACAAATGGATTGTTGTAGCCAAACAACATGGAGTTGTTTTGAGGAACCGATACAGTCAAAGTATGTCGATCTATGACTCTTCCAGACAATTATAAAAAGGAGGTCAAATGGCCAAAAACTCCTGGATGTAGAGAGCAGCAAGAGTAAACGGCCGATAATGGAGTAGACTGAGTGGAGACTCCAGCAGGAAAAAAAACTGTGCTGTGGCATGTACCTCATGTGCACCAGAAGCTCTAAGCCATGTGTTCTGTGAACTATGAAAAGTGTGCGAAGATGAACATCTCACAGCCATGTTTGGCTTTGGATTGACTATGTTGTGCCCTGAAGTCTTTAGTTGTCCTGAGGTCCAGGTTAGTCTACTGAGGTGATCTGATCTTTACAGTTGTAGCTCCTAAACTGTGGAACCAGTTGCCTCTTCATATTCTTATATATTTATATAGTATTTTTAATAATTTTAATAGTTTTTATGATCTCGTGTATCTTGTATTATCATTTTAATGATTATTTTATGTCAGAACTTTGGCTGACTAGTTGTTTTGAAATGTGCTAAATAAATCAATTTGATTTGATATTTGTTCAACTCGCTTTTTAATTTCTGTAAAAATGCATCAACACAAAGGTCTGCCATAATTCACATCCAAAAACACTTAAATACAGTGCCATGCAAACATAGCAGTAAAGTCTGGGCACTTTTGCAGCTGCAATCCAACAAAATGGTTCTCACGTTACAGCGAAATGACACTTTCTGCCTCTGTGGCTCAGTAGGTTTGTAATTGTATCAGTAAATGCAAATTTGGTATTTTAGAGTGAGTTGCTTGCTGACTGTAAGTAAACTACAGTCACAACTAAGGTAAGTTTCTGTGTGCTTTTATGATCCTTTGGCAGGCATAAATAATTGCCAATTGAACTCTACTCATTGTACTCGAATACCAAGCAAAAATGAACAGGTTTTTACAAGCAAAAAAATGTTTTGAGCACGTCAGGAAATTTTAAAGGGGCAATATCATGTAAAATCAACTTTTTTGAGTTTTATATCATGTTATAATGTTATACTCTCATAAAAAAACATGCCCAAAGCC